TAGAAGAGGTGAAGAAAAATATGAAGGAGGTGTTGTCAGCCATCCAAACAGAAGAGTTTGAAAAAGGTTTCTAAGAATGGAATTGCAGATTTGACGAATGTATGAAGTGTAGTGGAGAGTACTTTGTAGGTGATAAGGTTGTCTTATTTTTAAAAATGTAAATACGTAACTTTGAAAAAAATTTTTCAGTTTTTGTCGAGTACCCCCTCCTACTAAAAATAAGCTGGATCCTGCATACTAAGAGAGCTCTGAAAAAGAAATCAAGAAAACAATACGATTTATAATAGCCACCCCAAATATGAAATACTAAGAAAAAATATCTTGTACCAAGAAAACTAGAAAACAGTATAAGAAACCTACATAAATTGAAAAATATACCGTGCTAATGGATAGAAGACAATGTTGGGGAAATGTCACTAGTACCCACAATGATATATAAATACAATGCAATCTCAATCCAGATGTCAGCAATCACCAATTTATATGGAAAAGAAACAGATTCTAGATAAGCAAAGCACAACTAGAGAAGAACAAAGCAGGCAGTCTCGCACTTCCCCATCTCAAGACCAACTACATAGTCACAGAAGTCGAAACAACCTTGTGTTAGTATAATGATCGATACATGGACCAACAAAGAATTGAGAACCCAGAAGTAAATCCATCCATCTAGAAACAACTGCTTTCTTGACAAAAGGCTGAAATACATTAAAAGGGCAAATTGTACTGGCAAAACTGGTTCCCAATTTACAGAAGAATGAAACAGGACTCATATTTCACTCCATATACAAAAAAAATGAACTCAAGATAGACTACCTAAATGTAAAATCTGAAACTATAAATAACAGCTATGAAAAATTATGGACACACTTAGGGGTCCTAATACATAGCATAAACAAATTATATCATGTAAAACACACAGAAGATGACCAAATTTATCATTGGGATGTCTTAAAAATTAAACATTTATATACATTGAAAGATTTCACTGAAAGAGTAAAAAGAGAATACACAGACTGGGAAAAATTTTGCAATGACTTAATGGACCAAGGACTAATATAAAAAATGTATAGAAAACTTTAAAACTCCAATAAGAAAAACAAATAATACAAATAAAAATGGGCTGAGGACAAGGACAGTTCACAAGTGCGGGAATTCAGGTTGCCAACAAATATAAGAAGAAATGTTCATGATCATTCATTATTCAAGAGATGAAATTTCTTTTTAAAAGATGAGATACACCACCACCACCCACACACCCACCAGTATTGATAACACAGCAGTCTTCCGGTGGGACTATAAGACTATACTGACACTGTGGAAAGCTGGATGTTGCTTCCTCCAGACATTCGGAATGGAAATCCCATACAAACTAACACGCTATTTGGTATACATTCTAGAGAAATAAGAGCGTATATATATATACACCCATGCTCACTGAAGCACTATTCACAATAACAAAAAGATGGGAACAACCTCAATACCCAGCGATAGAAGAATTGATAAATAAACGGGCATATACACACAGTGGAATACTACACAATGTTAAAGAATAAGGATGAATCTGTGAAACAACTCATGAGATGGTGAGTTGGTGGATGTGTTAGATAGGGTTCTCTAGAGAAACAAAACCAGAATGCTAATAATTATATATGTATTTATACAGATAGATAGATATATAAGAAAGAAACAGTTAAATTATAAAGCAACAAAAATGGCTCAGTGCAACTCACTCCCGTGAGACAGTTGTGAGACACTGGCAGTCCTTCAAGAACAATTCAGGCTATCTGGGCACAGGCAGCAAACAAGGCAGGTCACCAACAGTCAGCCAGATAACAGGGTCTGACAGTCCCTAGCTCAAGAGATGTAAATTCCAATGGTGTGGCAAAGCAGGTCCTGAAGGAACCTCAAATTACAGTGACATAGTCCACACGGGTTAGGTGTCCCCCAGGTAGTGTAGCTTGCAAAAGCAGGCAAAGAACAAGCAAGGCGGCCACACACTGGTCTGATGATCAAAGAGCAAGAGACAAAAAAGGCAAGGCTCTCCGAACCATTTAGCTCTCTGCTCGTCAATTAATCCCACATGTGCTTATTGGCCAGGTTGGCACAATAAACTAACTACCTCAGTGGAGGACATTATGGTGAGTGAAATTAATCAATTACAGAAGGACAAATATTGTATGGGAGCACTGCTATCAAAATCAAAATCAAGAAAATGTTTCCGCACTAGGAAAAACAGACTTGGTTACTATGGGTTCAGGGTGGGGGGAAGGGGAAATCACAAGACAGAGAGTAGATAGATGCTAACTTGGGTCAAAGAGAAGGCACTGTCCCACAAGAGGGATCTGGGCACAGAACTATAGAAAGAGAAAAGCCCCGTCCAGTTGAAGTCTGTGGGTCACATGCTAAGCTGGAGGCTTTTCCTGCACAGCGTAGCTGCTGGGGCTGACAAGTCAGAAAGCAGGAAATGCAGCAGCAAGACAAAGCAGGAAGAGCATGACTAGAGGATGCAGAAGCAAATGGATCCAAGATCAGGTGTTAGGTTTTTGTGGCCGCCATGGGCTGTTGGCAATATGGTGGGTTGTTGGCACAAGAACCATGAGCCAGAGGTCAATGAGCCAGCTGCAGGATCCAAACAAGCAAGAAGTAAAGAAATTCTCCAGCGCATCTACATATATCTAAGGCCACACCACCAAGACTGTACCTGCCTCTTCTCACAACGGCTTGTCTTCGAACAGCAGATCCCATCATGGAGTACGTCATCTGGGGGAGGTTTGAACTTCAGAACACTGAGAATCCTGGCCTTACACAATACTTAACTATCACAGATGAGTTTGATTTGCAAGACCCCAAACAGTTGAGAATGTTACAATGTTTTAAAAGACTGGTAACCTGCACTGGTTAACCTGAATTGCTGGTTTTAACACGAAATAGTTAACCTACTGAAAAAGATTGCCGAACACAAGATTGGGGCATTCCGGGAATATGTTGAAAGGGCAAGAAACTGAAACATTGGCAGAAAACCAAAGCCAATATTGAACCCAAGCAAACATGGCCTGCAGGGCCACACTAGGGAAGCTTGAAGACCATCCTCTATTACGTGGTGGGAAGACACTCTCGCATGCAGACCACAGCAGCAATTGTGCTTTCAGGTAGATAATTTCTATTATGCTAGCAAATTTATTGTTGTTTTATTATTATTAACCGATTATTATAATAATTTCTAATACACTACACAATAGTCTTTAAAAAATAAGGTGTGATTTCTTTATTCTATGAAAAAGTGATTATTTTCTAATTTCCTGAGTACTTAGAGAGTCTACAAGGAGCTAATCTTCCTACATGTGAAAATTGTTCATAAGGCATTTTAAAACAAAAAAATAATGTTTGACCTATTTAAACACTAGAAAGGAGCTTGCATATTCTCAGAGCTTTTCTTTACTTAGAGACACAAGACTGTATTTTTGCTATACAGTGAACCCTCGCCACTTCGCGCTTCGACTTCCA